TTAAGATAATAGAGGGCCCACTGAGTTCAGAGAATTCATGGAAACTTAGAAAACATAGACACAGAAAGAGATTGGGGGCTACAGATGAATAAGATCTACATGATGAAMCACAAAGAATGGGCTTTGGAAGAGATTGTTTTGGAAAGCATGGAGTTTGAACTCAGGTTAGAGAGTGAAGAGAGGCTCATCCTCTGAAATGGGGTAGATAAAATAAGGAGTAAAATGCATGTGGACAAGTCCAGGAAACAAAGCCGGAGGAATATCGGGTGATGATAAACTCATAGATGGCAATCAAAGTTGAATGGAAGGCAGAGAAGCTCTTGGGCCTACTTTCAGCCAATCCTACATCTGTCTTTGTTACAACCAGACAAATGTAGGTTTTGAGGGGGTAAGTTACTCATCATCTTTGACAAGTGTCTACCAGACTTCCTTAGCAATCAGRTAACGTTTACGATTGCTTCCCTAAGCCTTTCTGGTGTGTCACAACTTTCAGTCTTCTGCACACTGATTTCTAACCAAAGGATTCTGCTCCGTCAATGCCCCATTAAATTAACCTCAGATTGCTGATAGCACCATGTCAGGGGCTCACCCAGTATAGTGATGAGTTAATGAATTCTCCCCTCTGAAAGCAAGATATACTCTCCTCTTAAATTATGTTAGGAACTAGTAGAGAATTCCAAGGTTTCTAGTCCAGGTCCTTGTTCTTTCATGTGGTCATTTCTTTAATAAATACTCATTTATGAGCCACTCTATGATAGATTAGGTTCCTGCTCTCAAGGCTTTACAATGTAGTTGGGGGGGGTGAATATAAACTAATAAATTATTTCAAGTGTGGTGTTGAGAAAGAAAAAGTCATGGCGACATGCCAGAGTTACCGAGGCAGGGGCAGAGGAATAACTGGCTGTTATAGTTGGAGAATAGTGAAAGAGATTCATTGAGGAGGTGACTTTGAGCTGAGATTTGGATAAAGCCATGAAGCTACACAAAGTAAAGGAGAAGATGGCAGAAATTATGAGCAAAGATAATGACACGTTCAAAGGTCCTGAGAAAGGAACAAAAATGATATATTTAACAAAAGCAAGCAAAGAGAAAGAACGAGATGTAAGGGAACAGGGGAGGTGGACATATACACCTCTGAAGTTAAAGAACTTACCCAGAGCCACAGCACAGTAAATGAGTAAGCAAGGAGGTGAAACAAAAGATAAAAATAAATGGCATATACAGCAGACCAGACAGAGGGTCCCTCGGAACAGTAACATTTGAGTGCATGAGAGAGGGTGYGAGCCTAAGACATAGGTAGGGTTCTGAAACTCAGCCAACTTCAGGAGACAGGCAAGTATCCTAAATGAGATACGCAAACCCAGGTAAAAGAACTGTAGAAACTACAGTGACCCCAGAATTAGTGACATCCCAAATGACGTTAATAGTCATTAAAAATATCTGCAGACAAAAATACAGCACACCATTAAAAATACTTTGCAAGCAATAATAACATACATATGAAAAGGCAAGCAAAATCCACAGAGTATCAATATGCACCACTGAGCTGGAATAAAAACATGAAGTAGGCTGAGAATGAGGGGTCTCATTAAAAAAAAAAAAAGAGCTCTGCCTTGTATTTCCATGAAATAAACAAAAAGAATATGTTTTGTCAGGCAGTAACCCAAAGGCTATAATACTGATGACAGAAAAAAAAAAACACTATTTGTTACAGAGCTCTCATAAATTAAAAATGAAGATAATGATCAAGTGGACCAGATTTGTAAAGACAGGATCTGCAGAACCATGTAGTCTAAGCAATTACCAAAATGCATACATCATGACAGTCCACTCTATGTCTGAATAAGCACCAGGACAGGAAGCTCACTCCCACAAAAGGCACTGTGACCATTTTGAAGTTTTTCTCCATTTGACCTCTTGTTATGTGGAGCTGATACTTGCCTCTTTGCAGTTTTATAGTCCCAGATCTGCTCTCGAGAAACACACAGAACTTATTAATAACATTGCCACCTGCCAGCCCTTCAGATATTTAGAAATTGACACTGTCACTCCTCTCCCTCTACAAGTTGTCCTTTCTCTAGTCTGAACATATTTACCATCAACTATTCCTCAGTCTGTTTCTAGAACCTGCCATCTCAAATACCTTTCTGTGACTCTTCTCCAGTTTGTCACTACTCTTCTTAAAAGAGTGCGCAAAGAGAATGTGACCTTTCTACCTGACATTTTCTGTGTCTGCAGTGGTAGGCATACAAGTACATTTTCTGAGTTCAGTCACCTGTTGTCCCTGTCCCCTCTCATCCAAGACAGTCTGTTTGTTGTATGTTGTGAGGACACACATGATCTTCAGCAAGGGATTTCATCAGTATAAAGAATGCCATTCCTCATTACTCTATCATTTCTGATTAAGATTATTTGGCCTCATGTACATTACATCCCGCACCAATAATGCCCGAGCAATGCTTCGATGTTCTCATTCCTCTTTCTAGACATCGCCTTATTATGTACTCAAACTGCAGAAACATTTTTGTATGAAGATGAAAATGAAATTTAAAATAAGTGGTTAAAGGCAGAGAAAAAATTGGAAGGATGGGCCTTGGAGAGAGTGCTGTACAGAAACACCCAGTGAGCTGGCTTTGAATCTGACTTATCCATTTACCCCCCATCACCCTTTTTCAAAAACTAAATTGATCATTATAATCAGATGAGAAATAGCTACCTAATAGCATATGCTTAGTATAAACATACAAAGCTCTGAAATAAGATTTCAGGTACATAATTCACATAAGTCATGTGATGATCTTTTGGAATATACTATTATTTCCATTTTAAAGTCAGGAGAATTAGAACACAAAGGTGAAATGACTAACCCAATGTCATTCAGTTAGTAGGTGGCATTGGATTTGGGCTTGATTCTGCTTCTTTCTGAGTCCAACCTCTCTATAGTTCTATACCACAATCTCCCTTAGTGGATAATGTCTGTAACACATGTCCACTTACCTAGAGATTAAAACAAAAATTATGGCAATTACTTCTCCTGTGATGCTCTTCCAAATAGGTGGAAAGTAGGAACATGTGTTGCTTAATCTGCAGTGCTAGAGATGGCCTCAAAACATGTACACAGGGCAAAAGAACAAGAGGAGAGAAAAGGCACACACCAGCCACATTATTGGGCATCATATCTTGAACCGAGTGGAAATATATCTGTGCAGATTCTCTCACTAGCATTTTTGGAACACAAACAAGATTTCAAGGTGACTGTTCAGCCTAAGAAAACAGTGTTTTCAAGCACTTTTAATACCACTTTAGCAGCATTCACTTGTATATAAATCATGTGCTAATTTATTCATTAAAGTAGCCTGTACTTGGCAACATTTTATTAACCTCAGTTTATGTTAATAAGATCTATACTTGTATTTTTAATGCATCTCTTATAATTACTCCATAATTCTGGCTTTCCTCCAATATGGGGCTAAATCCTTATCAACCCCCAAATTGCACTCCATATCCAATGAAAATTAGTTTGAATGATAGTATTATAGAATTACTTTGGAAAGCCCAGATTTGGCAGAGAGCCTATTCCTATACCTAGACATGAACCAAAATCTCCTGGGGATTTTCTTACATAATGACTGAGTTCCTTTGCCATCTATTGAGTCAGAATCTCTAGGGAAGGAACCTCTTGGGAATTGAGATTTTCAGCAACTGGTTTACAAACCATCACTTAAACGCTAGTATCTAAGTCAATTTCCTTCTACAGAGGTCCATTGTGACTCTTGAAAAACGCAGGAAACAAGATATATCCTAAAGACATAATAACCAATCACCTCAAATGATCCGATAAATCCTAGAAAAACGAATTACCCATTCATTATTAAGTGCTGATGTATTGTTTCTTTATTTCCAAGGTTTGGGTAGCCATTTTCATGTCTAGTTACTATAAAGAAATCCTATAGACACACAAAGAAAAGCACAGACTCTACGTCACCCATGAAGACCAAGTAAAGATAATCAGATAGATTTACCCAGTAGAGCCGAATGATAAAAAACCATAATTTAAAAACGCATTTAAAAAAATCAATGTAAGCAACCAAATTAAAAATGAATTTTTAAAATCAATCTAAGAGGTTACAACAGGATCATAAATGGATGGCTAATATGGAAACTCTCTCCTATCTGACACCCATGGTTGACACTGCTTATCAATCACAGCCCTTTTCCTTGCTACATCCAGAAAAGGCCTCAAAGTCCTTTTCAATCAAGCATTCTATGGTGCTAGTGCCATAGCTCTAACATACAGGAACATGGTTTCCCTGGCTAGAGTGAGTATGTAAACTGGAATTGCAATCTCACCCATCTTAGGCTATATGTTCCACACAGGACAGATGAACCTGAAGGTTCTCATGCAGACAAGATCCTAGAAACAAATCATGTTTGTACTGATTTCACACTTATATTTTTGAATAGGAGTGTCCAGAAATCAGTTAACTGCTAAAATGTTTATAATTCATGGAGTACACTCATATTATCTAAACCAGTTTCTGCTCATGATAATTCTAAGATCCACTTTGAGTAAATGCTATTAGGGAGACCAGTTGAGTTTCAAAGAGTGTCAAAATTAAACATAGGATTTGAATTAAAAAAATCCCATATCATTCTGCTTTCTCTCTATTGATGGTACCGCATATTTTCTCCTCTGGAGATTCTGGAATATTATCTCCACACAAATATATAATGTTCTGGTAAATGAGAGGGCAGACACCACAAAGGACACTTGGTGGCTGCTGGGTTTCATTTGAAAGAAGGAAATAATTATAATTAACTTATCTGGGGTTTCTATTCTGGCCATTGTTGGTTCCTTGGCCTCTACTGCCATTTCCCAAGTTCTACTAGGTAGAAACCAATTTAAGACCATATCTAGAGTGACATTGGTTCACCAGGTTGATTGCATCAAGATGACAGCCACTGTGATCAAACAATAAGATCAGAAAGGGCAGACTTACCTCATCATAGATGCTGTCATTCCTGCGAAAGTCTCCAGCCTTCCTGGGAAGAACGTGGACATGAACGTGCTGAAAATGTGTAAGAAAGAAAAAATACAATGTGATTATCTCTCCATATGTTTTTAGACTTGACAAGTGATGCTCTCATGAAGCCCAATTACTCCACATTGGTTCTTTCTGGATTAGTTTTCAGAGGAAGATGATGTTCACCTTCCGAAACAATATCTGAAATCTGCTGAGAATTGAGAGGCACAAAACAAGAGAGAAGAACTTAGTGGCATATCTGAGTTGGAGTGAAATGCCAGAATATTTTAGAGGCTCTCTGGAATTATTCATAGTTGTCAGTCTTGGTTGTATTTAGCCAGTACTTTGAAATGACAGTGTGTCTTATAAAAGATGACCATCGTGACTCTGAAACTGACAAGAAATAAGAATCAGCTAAAAAAGAACTGCATGAATAAATGAATGAGGAAAGGAAGTACTAAGGGACAGAATTACAGAATCAGGAATTTGAATAATAATCTTACAATGGTAGAATAGACAGTTCTCATTTGTTGAACTTTCATTTACCATGATAAGCAAAGCTCTGTGCTTGATAAAATTTCACTTAACACTCATAAAAATCCCATTCTAAAATAATCTTTATTTTGCAGATGAAGAAATCAGTGCTCAGAGAGGTCACGGCCCCACAGGAAGTGGTAAGAATATGCACAGGAAGTGAGGTCACCTGGCTCTTGCCCTCTCATTTTTCATCAGCAAAGGCACTGATTCTGTGAACTTAATCTCTTAAACAGCCCATTTCTCTCGTCTACTAAGATACCCAGGTAATATACATAGCAATGCTATTATGCAGAGATCATGAATCAAGGCTTACAGCATATCTAATTCAATATATTCTTCAAGGCTGAACTGCCATTTCAAAGTTTTACTTTCCCAATAGTGTCTATTGTACCTCTGTTGAAGTTAAACCTCTTCCTGCCCTTGAGTTATGTTCCCACATTTATTACAAACCATGGAGAGGAATGTGAAAATTAAAAGCCTAAATCTGGAGAGGCAGTCAAAGAATCAAACCTCATCCCTGATCACGCCTACCCTTTCTTGATTACTACGATCGGGATGTGAAACTCCAAAAGACCTCAAGAGAACTAAGATTAAGTGTCCCTGTGGTTTTGTGTAAAAGGAAGGGAAAATGATATGCTATTAAAGCAGAGGCAGAGAGCAAGGCACTCCAAGGTCAATGAAGCAGAGAAGAACTTCACACCAGCCCCTGGCCCGCAGCCCCTCAAGAGTGACATGCTTCTGCCACAATATTCTCCAGTCAGTGATAAAGCCAGTCATGGGATCCCTCAGCAACTGGGGAGAGTATCTACTTATGTCACAGAGACTGTGGGAGCATAGGGGCAGAGGGAGGAAGAACAAGAAAGGAAAAATAAATCACAAACTACCCAGGAAACAACTTCTTCAGAGAAAGCCTGTGTGGGCCCAGACTCCAATCAGTAGACTCCAATCAGAAACTAATTGGAATCCACAGACTGGATGATGGAAAAACCAGGAAAGTGCCACAAAAGAAGGAGATAGCCCACACTTAGAGCCTTCACTTGATTTCTGCTTCTAAAACCTGCTGTTGTATCCTTTCTTCTTTTCCAACTTTCCTTCTTTCTCCCTCTGGTCCCCCCAGCCTCCCATTTTCCAAACCAGTGTTCTGCAGTCAAACTGCCTAACTAAGGACACTGATCACTTAATAGCCACTTATCAAGAAGTACAATACATTCAGTGTAGACGAACCTACCACGTAATTAGCTATGTGAGCTTGCCACAGAAGACCTATGTCCCACCATCCTGTCTATAATGAGAACTGTAATAGTTCCTGCCTCACAGAATTATTAAGAGAAGCAGATCTTCTAAGTGTGCAGGTACAGCATGATTACTTTTACTATTCCAAAACATGTATTTTTTAAAAAAAATCTTAAAACCAAGCAGAGATCAGATTCAAGAACTAATTCTCTTACCAGCAGTAAAGATATTTTAAAGGATTTTTGCATGGCACATTGTTAAAGCATCTCTTTTGACCAAAGTTTGTTTCTGTTGCTTTCACTAGAAGTTCTCAAACTTCAAATCATGCCTCAGGATTATTAAAATATACATTGGTAGTGTAAGGGACCGGCGAAACGTCGGAGGAAGAGACCACCAAGAGACTGCCTCATGCAATAGCAAAAGGGTTTATTTGGGGACCAGCATGCTGGGGCTCAGTGCTCACTTGAATAGAGCAAAGAAAGACAGAGCACTGAGAACAGCTTAAGCAGAGCTTATATACGTTTCTTGGAGAGGGCAGGGAGGGAAGTTCATTGACGGGTCAGGGCGAGTGGGCAGTTTGCCTGCAACCGAGTGAGGGAGTGCATCCTGCAGTTTGGCAGTTGGGGACAGCACATTCTGGGAACAAGATTAGCAAACAGTTCTCAGGATTTTAACAGTGTTTTGTTAAGCATATAGAAAAACAGAGTGACAAGTACCTATTTTATTAACCTTTCAGTAGGACCCCAAAATTTACATTTCTAACATGGTACGAGGTGATGCTGGTACCACTGATTAAGGGCCACTAACTGAGAAACAATGGCTAAGACCATCTATCTGATTCCTAACCCCACTCCTGCCAAGGGTACCAACAAGGGCACCAACATCACTCCCTGTTTTACCTGCCCATCCTCCACCAAATTATAGGGATACCTATTTCTGAATGCTTCCCTGGCTTCCTGCACTCTGAGGATCCCAGTGCCTGTCTCTGGGGATATGGTAGTTACTTATCACCATTAACATACGGTAGGCTGTGAACACACTTTAGGGGAATGTCATAGAAATAGGCGTATCCCTGTCCTCCACCCCTACCCCTCACTTTTGTCTTCTGAGTTTAGTGTTCAAAGCCCTCTTTTTAGGCTCTGTTACCATCCAGTGCTGGAAATGCCACTCTTGATCACTGGTAACTACTTGAAACTCACCATGACATCAAAGACAGTAAACAGCTCACTGGGTAGGTGATTTTTTCCTCAAGGGCAGATATCTCAACTCAGCCTGATGTCTTCAAGTAATTCTTACATGACAGGCTGATCCCACCATCCTGACAACCCACTCAGCTTGTCAGAACAGGGAGAACGTGGCATACCCAGCTCAAAGCCTCAGTGTTGTGAGCGTGTACTGTTGCCATGGCCTTCCAACCGAATGGAATTCTGCATGGCAACCATGGGGATAATTTGCCATACCCTGTTGATAGTAATTTTAATATTAATCCATGGTGATCATAACTTATCCTTCTAGRTGCTAACACACCATCCATTTAATAATGTGTTTTACAATTTTGCTAGGGATCAAAACTTGGCTGCTGAAATTGGAAGAATATTTTGCAAGTCTCATGATACATTCATACTGAAAAAGCTTTCATTCAAATAAAATTTTACAATGTCCATTGTCACAGTGAAGTATCTGAGAAGTCCCTCACAAAAGACACTTTTTCAAATTTGATTTAATATTTCAGTAATTTGTTATGAAAAACCCAGCTTTTTTTCCCGCATGAAACATGTACATTTTTCTACAACAAGTGTTCATTCATTCAAAAATATTTAGTGCTATTCTAGAACCAGGAATTCTGATGAACAAGACAAATCTGCCCCTGTAGAGCTTACACACCAGTGACTAATGCAAAAAAAAAATAAACAAATTAATAGACAATTCAATTTCATGTTGACATAACTGTCATGAATAAAGATGTTTTGGGGAAGAGCTAATAGCAATGGGATACTTCAACATTTGAAGCTCAGGAAGATAAGTAGGACTCAAGTTTATGAAAACAGGAGATGGTGAGCACCAATAATCTAGAAAAGAACTTCCAGAAGGAGGGAAGAAGCCATCAACAGGGTTGAATCGCTGAATGCTTGAGTTGGTTTCAGTGAAGTCAGGGGGACAAAAGCACAAAGCACATAAGAAGATGCTTAGTTATCATGAGTCATTAGTGAAAGGTGAATCAACACCACACAGAGATACCACTTCACGCCCACTGGAATGTCCATAATCCAAAAGACTGACACAACAAGTGCTGGTGAGCATGGGAATGGGAATGTAATGATTCAGCTGCTTTGGGAAAGAGCYTGAATGTTCCTCAAAGAGTCAACCACCCAGTTATCATATAACTCAGACTTCTACCTCTAGTATATACGTAAGAGAACTGTACATACTTGTACATGAATGTTTACAACAATATCATTCATAGCCCACATGACCATCTACAGAGGAACAGATAAACAAAATGTGGTGTATCAAGACAACAGAATATGATTTGACATATAAAGGAATGAATTATGCCTCATGTGAAAGAATCTAGGCACAAATGGCCATACATTACATGATTGTGTTTATGAAACACCCAGAATAGACAAATTGACCAAGAAAGAAAGAATAGCAGTTCTCAGAGCAGAAATAGTCAATGGCCCAGGATTTCTTTGGGGATGACAGATATGTTTGACGATGATATAAAGATGATGATTGTATGACTTTATGAATACCTATAGAACACTGAGTTGTATACTTTAATAAGGTGATTTCTGTGATAAGAGAATTATATTCCAAGAAATTGGTTATTAATTAACTTTAAATGCAGTGAGTGGGAGGTAAGGAGAGATAGCAACACTGATGTCATTTTTGGGGACTCTGCCCTGCCTATACTTCTGCATTGCCTATACTTCTCTTTAAATCATTTTGAGCATTTGTGTTTTACTCATAATCACTTGAGGATGGTTAGTGTAGTTAATATTGTAGTTAATATTGATATATTGTGTCCCTGTCAGATTGCATTAGAATTCAAATATAAAGAATAAAATCATGGTTGGGGAAAAGGCAGGGAAAGCTACAGAGTTACCCTCTTCCCAACAGGTGACCTACAGTCTCATTCAGGAGCCCCATGTGAACCCATCTCCCCTAGACCTGCCCATGAGTAATTTTAGAGGGCAAGTCTTGCCCTAAAGAATAACAAAAACAATGTTGTAGGTGGCAGACTAATTCCTCTTCACAAAGACGTCTAATAC